TTGCCTCTCACATGGCCCCTACTGGCCCTGCAACTCAGGCCTGTGTCCTGACTGGGAATCAAACCAGTGACACTTTGGTTCACAGCCCACGCTTAATCCACTGAGCTATACCGGCTAGGGCTAAGCCTGTGCTTTTCTATATAAATTTTAGAATATGCTTGTCTGTGGGTGTTGAACATATTCTCATGTGCTTTTTGCCCTTCTGTACCCTCTTGGTGAAATGCCTATTTATGTCTTTAGCTCACTTTCTAATTGGATCATTTGTTTCTTCAATGTGAGTTTTGAGAGTGTATAATTTTTTATATATTGCTGAATTATATTTGCTAATATTTCGTTAAGAATTTTTGCATCTGCATTTATGAGTGATATTGGTATCTAGTTTCTTTCTTTCTTTCTTGTGCTATTTTTGTGTAGTTTTGGTATCAGGCTTCATGAAATGAGTTAGGAAGAATATCCTCTTCATTTCACTCAGTAGCTTTTCCCAGGGTATGAAAAAATTTCCACTTAGTAATAGCAATAATCTTAGTTATTCCAAATGCTCAATTACATTATTTTTCTTTACTCAGATATAACTGTATATTAACTGCAAGGATTATTTCTCAAAACTGCTTTCCTCTGAATTTGAGATTTCTGCAACTGTTACTGAACAACAAGTGGGGTCCTGCTGCCCGCTACCACCCTCTAGGCAAAATTCCAGAGGCAAAGGTTTGGTGATAAAAGAAAGGAATCTTTATTCCAGGGGTGTCCAACCTGTGCCAGGATGGCTGTGGATGCAGCCCAACACAAAGTCATAAATTTACTTAAAACGTTATGAGCTTTTTTTGTGATTATGTGTCACAATGTATTTAATATGTGGCCCAAGACAAATCTTTTTCCAGTGTGAAGTGGGGATGCCAAAAGGTTGGACACCCCTGCAAAGCCATCACTTTAGCCTATCAAGTCACAGCTTTAATCATTTAAAACTATCAATTAAGGCTAAACTCTAACACCTGGGTTCTCCTAGCATTCTCTCTGTTTTCGGTTGTCTTATTTCTACAGGGTTAGTTCACAAACTAAAACAACATAATACACAAAAGCTACACAATATTGGAAGAATGGCAGGCTTCTGCCTCAGAGTCTGTTCCCTCTAGAACAAACCAAGAATAACCCTGCCACCCTCTGCCAGGCCAGCCTGACCATAGGCTGTGCCCAGAGTTCCTTCCTATCCAAAATATCATCTGTTGGAAAATGCAGGCAACTGTAGCGCGATGCTGGAGGAAGAAAAGCCGGAGAGCAAGGGAGAGCCAGGGAGAGCCAGGGAGAGCCAGTGCCACCTCCTCCCCCAGAGCCCAAGAGCGCTTGTTTTATTTCAAATCTTCTCATTCATAATTCCATGTGCTCTGGAGTCATTCAGCTTCTCAGCCAGTCCTGTTCTAGTCTACTTACTATTGCCTTGGGCAACCTCGTCCTACGGCTTCCCAGTGATCTGATCAGATTTCTCTGTATCATAACTATTTCGTTTATAATTATTCAGACTATTCCCCCGAGTGTTCTCCTGAGATAGGAATATTAGCATATTATGCTCTAAATTCTTTTATGTCTAAAATTGTCTTTTGCTCTGACAGAAAAATGGTTTTGATCAATGGTGGGTTTTAAATTCTAGGATCTCAGTCACTTTCAATAATATAATGTTTTCTTTTATACAGCTTCTATTTTTGCAAATAAGGAGTCTAGGTCTACTGTGATTCCTTCCCATTGTAAAGAACATGTTGTTTCTGTCTGGAAGTGTTTAAGTTTTCTTCTCATCTTTTAAATTCAATGCCAGATCCTATTTGGAGTTGATTGGGTTGCTCTGGGAATCAAAGAATGAGGTATTTCAGTGAAGGAGGATCAATGATTTAGGGTCCAATAGGATTAGATAATTCAGTGTTATTCATGTTGGGGTAGTGAGTGACAGTCTTGTGGAAACCTTGAAGGAAAATAATTGAAACATTTGTGGATAAGTGATTGAGAACTCTGTGGAAATTCTTAAAGTTTAATAAGAGTTGGAGATCTAAGTATCTAAAGTCATTGATTGGTCCATGAGAGTTATTGGTTGGGACTGAGGTGGTGAGTAATTGATTCACCTGGGATTACCAGTCTTTGCAAGTCAGTTTGCAGGGGCCTGTAGGAGTCATTAATTAGGACCTGTGGACATCAGTAATTGAAGGATATTTGAGAGTTGATATTTGATGGACCAGAAGGTCTATTACTGAGGATTTCATGGGAGTCACTGATTCTATATATTGGCTGTGAGTTATAGGCAGTCAGGTTTGGCCCCCCAGGGGCCTTAAGCAGATCCATAGTTGATTTTTTATTGAAGGTACATTGTCTATGTTGGTGATTATTTGAAAAGCCTATGGAAACCAGTTGATGTCACCTTTGCGACACTGTTTTGTCAGACAGTGTCAGTTAATGATTTAGGGACCTGTGCAGACATGTTGGTTTTCAGGGCCCAAATGGGAATTGAGTGAGGTGGCAGGTAATAAGTTTATGCTTTAATCTTTGGCATAAGAAGGTGGGCTCTGTAAGTTGCTCAGAATGTACACTAAATTATACAGAAGGTTGGTTTATGTACAGTGACATGGTCAGCCCTCAGCCAAAATATTCTGAAAGCAGCAGGAAACAGAAATAATAATTGTTGTGACTCTGCCTTGTATAAAATACCCTACAGCACAGCGGTTAAGAAAATGCGCTTTGGAGTCAGGCATACCTGGGTTTGAGTCTTTGTCCTTCCCCCTAATCCGAGTGATCTTGGGGCAAAGTTCTTAAGATTTCCAAATGGCTGTATCTAATGCTAAATGGGAATGATGATGATGATGATGATAATTCACAGAATGGGTGTGAAAATTAAATGAAGTACCTAAAATATATGCCTGGAACATTATAATAGCAATATTTAATATTAATAGAGTGTGCTCCAGGTGCCAAGTAGGAGTAAATACTTTAGAAGCATCACTTCATTTAACTCTAACAATCACATGAGACAGGTATTTTTGCCCTGTCTTAAGATTTAAAAAATCGATATAGGACTTCCGCCAAGATGGAGGTTTAGCTGGATGTGCCTGCCTCCTCACACAACCAAGTTTAGGGACAACTAAATATTAGCATCACAAAACACAACCAGAACACGGAAAACTGAACTTTTCGGAAGTCCGCTAACAACAAATTCTTCAGCCTGACTGGTAAGGGGCGAAACCTGCGTCGGGTGAGGACTTACAAAGGAGGGCTTGGTCGGACCGGGCGCGGAATCCAGACGCACGAATCCAGTCGCGCGGGTTCCAAACCCAGGATTGGACCTAGTGAGCCACCGAGCAGCCCACCGGGGGAGCGACACAGTGGGGAGGCGGTGGCAACGAGTTGACTGTGGTTGCCTGGTTGCGCGCGAGTGAGGGAGTGAGCGGTTGGACCAGCCCAGCGGCGGCCATTTCCCGCTCTGACCACGCCCCCACATACAGCGTCACAACCCAGCGACCTGGGACTCCAAGGCGCCGCTTGTCCCACTTAAAGGGCCAGAACAGACCAAAAATGTCGCAGGCAGAACTCAAAGCCCCAGAGATAAATCTAAATGACGAAGAAATAGCAAAACTCTCAGACGCACAGTTTAAAACACTGGTCATCACCTTTCTCACAGATCTGGTGGATTACAGCCACAAATTAGAGAAACATATGGAGGCTAAATTAAGGGAAATGAATGGAATTCCACAGGAATCCCATAGAGATGAAAAGGAAACTGGGACTCAAATCCATGCAGTGGACCAGAAGAAAGCAAATAATGGACAAACAGAAAAGAGTCAAGGAGCAAGAATTCAAAGAAATGAGGAGAGTCTTAGGAACCTCCAGGACATCTTTAAATGCTCCAATATCCGAATTATAGGGGTACCAGAAGGGGGAAAGACACAACCACCAGTGGAAAAACTATTTGAACAAATAATAAAAGAAAATTTCCCCAATCTGGCAAAGGAAATAGACTTCCAGGAAATCCAAGAAGCCCAGAGAGTACCAAAAAAGTTGGACTCAAGAAGAAACACACCAAGGCATATCATAATTACATTAGCCAAAATTAAAATGAAGGAAAGAATCCTGGAAGCAGCAAGAGCTAAGGGGACAATCACCTACAAAGGAGTCCCCATCAGGCTGTCAGCAGATTTCTCAAAAGAGACCTTACAGGCAAGAAGGGGCTGGAAAGAAATATTCCAAGTCATGAAATCTAAAGACCTACAACCAAGATTGCTCTACCCAGCAAAACTTTCATTTAGAACGGAAGGACAGATAAGGTGCTTCTCAGATAAGACCAAATTCAAGGAGTTCATCATCACCAAGCCCTTATTATATGAAATGTTAAAGGGACTTATCTAAGAAAAAGAAGTTAAAGAAACATGAACAGTGAAAGGACAACAAACTCACAGTTATTAACAACCACACCTAAAACGAAAGCAAACTAAAAGGACAGCTAGAGCAGGAGTGGAAACATAGAAATGAAGATCTCAAGGAGGGTTAGCAACAGGGGAATGGGAGGAGGAGGTGGGGGGAGAAGGTACAGAAAACAGGTAGCATAGACAGTAGATAGAAAATAGATGGGGGGGGGCAAGAATAGTTTGGGAAATATAGAACCTAAAGGACTTGAGACACATGGACATAAACTAAAGGGGGGTAATGGTGGGGTTGGGGGGGCAGGGTGGAGGGGAATGGAGGGGGGAATAGAACAACTGTAACAGCATAATCAATTCAAAAAAATAAATAAATTTAATAAAAAATATAAATAAATAAAAAAATAAAAAAAATAAGTGGAACAACAACAAAAAAATAAAAATAAACTTGTTTGTATAGTTCAAAAAAAAAAAGATTTAAAAAATCAGGCAAAAGTGACTTTCCCCAGAGCTGTATTTCACATTCTCATTCATTTTACAACAAATCTCATGAGTTTTTCCCATATTTGATGCTAATACTTGTTTGTTTTACTGGACTTTTCTCTTCCACAGTATCCAGCAAGCCATCTCTTCCACAGTATCCAGTAAGCCATCTCTTGGTGCCCCCAGGAAGCATTTCTGGGGTGAATGTGGAATAACTGACTATGTGGACACTGTCCACATTTCTTGGAATCTCTGTGGAGTCCCAGGACCAGACCTCATAATGAAGGCTGCAGGATCTCCTTCTAGCCCCAGCAGCTCTGGCTGAGCCCACAGATGCCCTCCTGACTTCAAGCTCCTGGTAGGAACTGAGTTGTCAGCAAGAGGCCCAGGGCTGAGGCTCAGCAGGAACATGCCATCCAACCGGAACTCTCCCCCATGGACCACGACCCTGGCTGCAGAGGGACATGGCAGGTTGAGTGAGGTGAGAAGGGAGATGTCTCCAGGGCAGGAATTCATTCAGTAAGGAGATAGTCTCAGCCTATCATGGGGCCTCAGAGCAGGGGCAAGTGGGTCACTGGGGCAGCATATTCCAGATTCACTGCCCCTGAGACAGATCACTATCTTCCTGCTGAGAGCAAGTACCACATGACTCATATCCCACATCTGGAGTCCTATGTGTTTCAGTGAAAAATGTGATATAACTAATGCAGGAAAGGTGGGAGAAGAGGGTCAGCATCACACCTGGAGGAGAAGGCCAGCTCCCCTGCAGGTTGCAGGCATGTCTGTGTGGGGATGGTCACTGGCTCTAACCAGGGATACGTTGCATCCTGGCCCCTAGCATGGGTCCTTCACTCTCCACTGGCTCTTTGCAGATGCTTAGCCAATCCCCACTGGAGCCTTCTTTCCCCCATGGTCTCTAGGGATTTGCTGATTTCTCCTCTATCATAATCTCAGATAGAAAAATCCCTTTTCTTTGGAATTTAGAGGATTGTGGGATAATGGGGCAACCACAGTCTTTAGGGCCTTTCTAGTTCTTCCTCCTTTCTAAGGTAAACAAAATGGCCAGAGAATGGACATGACTTTCCCTGATGGCTCAGATTGTGGATGATAGTACTGGACTGCAACTCAGTCTCCTGAAGGTGTCCTCCACTCTTGCCCCACTGCAGCCCAGACTAAGTATCCCACTAAAATCTCCCCTGGAGAGGCTGTAAACAGAGGAAGATGATGAGAGAGCCAGACCCTACCAGACAGCTCCCTCCTATGCAGATCATCTTATGGATGCTGTCATTTATGGAACAGGCTCATTGTCACAGGGGCTCTTGGTCATGTGGTCATTAGGATAATATTGAACTTTAAAAAAAAGATTTTATTTATTCATTTTTAGAGAGAGGGGAAGAGAAGGAGAAAGAGAGGGAGAGAAACATCAATGTGTGGTTGCCTCTTGTGCATCCCATACTGGGGACCTGGCCCACGACTCAGGCATGTGCTCCAACTGGGAATGGAACCAGCAATCCCCTGGTTCACAGCCTGCACTCAATTCACTGAGCTACACCAGTCAGGGTCGATAATATTAAACTTTAAAAATTTACTTTAGTTTTTATTATTTCATAATTTTACTATTTAACAATAAAAATGTTAGAATATGCAGGTAAGCAAATAGAAGAGAATAAAACATTATTCATAATTCCAGCATCACCCAAAACGAACTAGTGTTAACATTTAGCTATATTTTCTTTCAGTTGTTGTTTTATATTTGTATGTGCATGAGTGTGTGTATAGGGGTATAGTGTGGGGCTGTGAGTGTGCATACATACTGTATACATATATATTATATAGCTCAAGTTTGAAAATGGAACCATAGTATATGGTGCCTCCTTTTTAACTTGGTAGTTTAACATAATTTTCTAGGCAATAAATATTTTTCTTCATATACACATGATGCATGACATTATGTCTTTTGGATAAACTATAATTAATTTAACCAATCCATTATATGTACATTTAAAGTGTCAGGATCTTAGTTTTTTCATTAGATATCAGGGAGCAGGGAATGGGCACATATACCAAGGAACCAATAAAAATGTCCCCAGGAACAGGGAACAGCTGGTTGGATCAAGAAATAGTGGCTGAGGCTAGAAAACAAGCAGAATGTGTCAGTAAAAGAAAGGGGTGAGAAATAGCCACAGGGAACAGCTGGAGGGACCAGGGTGCACTTACTGGAGATGAAGGATAGCCAAGGGACCTTGAGGACAGGTAGGAGTGCAATAGAGGAGACAGAAGAAATGGGAAACATAAGTCAGAGGTCAGGGAGCAGCAGAGAGACCAAGAAACAGTTGTCAGAGCTGGAGAAGTGGTGATAGTGGTATGCAAAGGAGAGCATGAGGGTCCCAGAATGATTAGGGATCTCAGCATAGGAGGAGGGACCAGGAGATAAAGGAACTGAATAGCAGCCAGAGGGAGCCGGGACCATCCAGAGGGACGAAGAAGCAGAAGACTCAGTTAAATAGAAAAAGCAAAAAGGTTCGGTATGCTGGGTAAGAGCCTGCAGGACAAGCAACTTTGTGTGGTACTAGGGTCTAGAGAAAAATCTGGGGAGATGGGAAATGCAGAGACACCAGGGAACAAGAAATGGAAAGATGAATCTGGGAGTGAGTAGCTGCCAAACGAAGCAGGGACCAGCTGCTGAGGCTGTAGAACAGGTGGAGGAGCAGAGAAAGAAATGACCCATGGGACAGTTGGAGAGGCAGAGAAGGACCTCGAAGGCTGAGGAATAGCTGAAGGCACTAGGGGCCATATGGAACACAGAACAGCTTCTGAGATATAAGACCAGCCAGAGGGAACAGCAAAGGTGTGCTGGGTGTCCACCAGAGGTCCCAGACTAACTGGAAGCCTGAGGAATGGGAGACATGACCATTAAAACTGTCTTGTGTGTGGTAACACCCTGACTGACTAGACAACTCATAGAGGGACTAGAGAACACACAGAAGGCATAGTATTAGTTCTTGAAGCTAGTTAGCAACCAAAGGCCCCAGGCAGTGGGCACTGAAGCTAAGGACAGTTGTAGAATTCAGAAAGAGGCTGGCAATCAGTCAGATGTCCCCAGGATAGGGTGACAGTGGTGTCCTGGGATGGGAGACTTCCAGTGCTAAAATAGGGAAAATCCTGGGCAAACTGGGGCTGTTGGTCACCCTGACCAAGAAATAGAGTACCCAGCCAATAGTCAGGCATAATGTAAGTGATGCAGCAGAAAAAAGTACAGAATCCAGCTGTGGACAGACCACACAGAAATAATATAATTTTATGTTCAAGAGCCTAGGAGCCAACTGACCCACACTCCACAAAGTGTGGTCCATGGACCAGAAATAGCATCAGTTGAGAATGAATTAGCAATGTATTTCAGAACTGCTGAAGAAGCAAAAAAGAATCTAGACTAAAGAATAGTCAGAGAACTAAAATGGCAGTCAGTCTGTGTCTAGTAGGAGAAATGAGAAAATCTCATCAGGACCAGAGAACAGGCAAATGAATCCAATCTAAAGATGGTAGAGGAGTAAGTAAAAATTACACTAACCTCCTTCCAGGACCAATCTGGAATTACAACTATGGTACTTCATTTTGCCATGTTTAATGTTCACCCACATTTTGTATGCATTATATACAGGATTATTATACCCATGGTATGTAATCATTGTACCCATGTATAATGCACATCCTTATTTTTCCCTCAACATTTTGGGCAAAACAGTGCACATTATACATGGCAAAATACAGTAAATTGTAGCAAAATCATTTGGAATAAATAACTAAACAGTAGCTGGAGAGTAAGTAGCCTTATATCTATGAACAGACAGAAGAAATCACTTCACCACAATGTGACTGGTATGGAGTGTGGAGGAGACATGGGAAGGCTTTCTGTGCTCTCATGGGTGGCAGCTGAAGTGCCAGAGGGAAATTTCAGTGGCTGGGGGGTTCCCCCTGAGAAGTGTGGGGTCTAAGCCCCAAGCTAAGCTACCTATCCTACAATACCAGAGTTGGAAAGGAACCCAGATAACATCCAGCTGTGAAAAGTGGCAGGGTTTCTATCTTCCAGGGAGAGATGGCTAGAGACACAGAGAACCTCATAAAGGACCAACCCCCCCCCCCCCCCAAAATTTGTTTGCAGCCACTTATTCTGGGCTCCGGCAAAGGGAGGGCAAAGTAGACTAAAGACACTTGAGAAGAGTCTGGGGATTGTGGCTTTAGGAAGAAAACTGAGGGAACAACCACCAGGATCCCTGAGTCATCCCCCATGCTGCAGGAGCCATCTTGCTCAGGTAGAGCAGTTCTCTCCAAGCAGCATGAGCCTGAAGGGGAAGCAATAGCCCCACCTACGGAAATTACTCTGTTCTACCCTGTGTGCTTAAGCCTGATAGCTGATTATAGACTGACTACATTAACAACAGAAGGAAACAGCCACAAATTGTGGATCACTGGTAGTCTCGAACAGGTTGCCTAGGGCCAGTTTGGGACACCATCTGACATCACCAGGGGCAGATCCATACAGAGAGGATTGGGTAAACACTAGATTCGACTAAGATGAATTCCACTGCAGTCTTAATGATTTGCATTATTTTCTCTCCTGCATAGCTTTTTAACATTCGTTTCTTATCCTTCAAATCTGTGGCTATTAGGTTACTAGTTTTTATGTTATAGTTTATTTCAAATCTCATATTTTGCTCCTCCCTTGTCTTATACCCTTTTACCTTCTTCTTTCCTCTTCTTATTTTTGTTTTAAATTTTATTTTCTTTTTTGCTATGACTTATTTCCATTCCATACTCTTACTATTTCTACCCCCTCTGGCCTCTCAAAACCATTTTTCTTATCATTAGTATGCCATCTGCCGCCTTGCTCACCTCTGTCCTCCAGCCACCACCTTGCTCTGAGTCTTCTCTGCTCTGGCTGCACATCTCTGCCCCTCCTACCTGTCTGAATGAATGTTTCTTCTTAAACTCCTTGGTTGTTGGACTTCCATACAGTTCGATTTTCAGGCAGTTTTGATTATTTTTTGTTTTTAAATTGGTTGTTGTCCTTCTTTTGATTGTGTGAACAGTTGCTTAGGCTTTCTTTGACTTTCATGACACTGACAGTTTTGAAGAATGTCTCTCAATTTCAGTTTGTTTCTTGCTTCTGCATAATTAGATTTGTGTTATTCATTTTTGTCAGGAACATGACAGAAATGATGTTGTGGCCTTCTCAGTGCTTCATGTCCGAAGGCATTTAAATATTTTATTTATTTATTTTCAGAGAGAGGGGAAGGGAAGGAGAAAGAGAGGGAGAGATCAATGTGTGGTTGTCTCTCATGTGTCCCCCACTGGGAACTGGCCTGCAACCCAGGCATGTGCCCTGACTAGGAATTGAATCACGATCCTTTGCTGCACAGGCCCGTGCTCAATCCACTGAGCTACACCAGCCAGGATAAGAAGGCATTTAATATCAATTTATCC